TTACTTTCAATCAAGCAATCGAACAGAAGCTTAAAATTCTCATTAAGAGCTTTAGAATCAATGCATAAATTAGTTTTTCACCAATGCAGCTAAGTAGCTAACCATTGGATGTATTCTTGATTAAGGTAGCAAACATCGTACTAGAGACATCAACAGAGGTCCTGGGGCTGGAGCTGTCAATGAAGGAAAAAATACCGGAGCTATAAACAAGCATAACGGCGGTGCTCTTCTTTTCCTACTGTCCACTTTAGTGCATTTTTACCCTTTATTATTAATATATAACTAACTATACTTTATTGATTATGTAAAATTTGATTAGTCGTAGATATTATATCAATTAAAAAGTTAAAATATACAAACATAACATTAAATTTAATTATTATTTTTTTCAAAATATTTGTTAAAAAATTATATTTTTAAAATTAAGACTTTAAATTTTAAATTGAGATTGATATACAGTGTTCTTTTTTATTATTAATATTGTTATTTATTTGAGCAAACGAAATAATTAGAAGAATGGTGTGCAGTTGTCAACTTCGGTAAGATTAGTAAAGAAGAAATTGAGTCGAGAGACAAATCTGGCGGGAATATAAACATAGGCCCTGGTGCGGGGGCTGACAATATAGGCGAAGGGGCTGCAAGTATTAATGAGGGCGAGGGAACTGTCAATTTCTAACTTATGGTGGTAATTACTAATCAGCAGTTGTTAAGACCTTCGAGGTAATAAATAAACAATTGTTGCTGCTTATATTTGTAGCCTATATATATAAAGGCCATAAAAAAAGAAAAAGAAAAAAAAAAAGGTAGAATCTGCTGATATGTTGAGTATGTGATGTGCTGACGAATGTACCTGTGTGTGCTGCTAAGAAGAAGGGTGTGTACCGTGTGGTATCTGATTAAAAAATAAAGAGGTGTGTATGAGAACTATGATGTAATGTATTTGATGAGTTACCATAGTAAGATATATACTTAAAATCTGATAATAATTAACTGTGAAAGGATAATCAAGAGAAATATTAAACCTTGTCTAATTCGGACAATGGAAGAATTCTAATATTTTGGAAGAGGTATTGTTAAAATAAGTTGTGAACGATGAAAGAGCTATGTTTAGAAGAAATGATAGAAGGCATAATCGAAGTAATATTTGGTAAGATTAAGGGTTGATAACAACTTTTTTTTTTTTTTTTTAATAGTAGAGATTCAAAAGATTCATTAATAATAAAAAATGACTACAAAGAAATCTCAATGAATTCCATCTTATAGGCATAAAAACGCAAAACTAAATCAATATAGTACTAATAACAAATGATTCGGTGATTACATATATGGACAATTAAATATAGAGCCGTTAATTACTAGTGATGATTAAGTAATTGCTATAAGAAACAACCGAAGCAAGCATTGTGCAACTCGTCCGAATCCAGCCGACCCTACATCTGGGTTGTCTTCCTCCACCATAATTTTATTACTTGGGTTCATGTCGAGTCTTGGTCCAAGCTATATATTGACAATCATTAGATAGTCCCTATCTTCACGAACAATATCCCTTAATTCTTGATTGGAGTTGGAGGGATGATTAAGTATGGAAAAAGTGTTAAGCACTCACAATTTTTTGTAAAAAAAGAAAAAAAAAAGAGAGAAAAAAAAAAAGAAAAAAGAAACATACTTTAAATTTGAAGTTCTCAATTTGCTCACATAAAATAAGAAAATAAATCTTCTAAGCAGAAATGAGCTTTTTTATCCTTTTCCCATGATTAAAGAAGACAACAAAAAATTGATAATATAAAAGAAAACAGCAGAGGAAATCAAAATCAAAAGCTTAAGCAACCCATTTCAGAAGCTTAGCTTACGTGGATTAAAATGTTTTGTTCTAGCGCAAATGAATCTTAAAAATCACTAAAACCAATTCTTATCCTTTGTTTTCGTATTCAAAACGCCTTAATTTCCATTTCGCTACAAATAAACAATCAAATGAGAGCGTCACCAGGACATCACGATTGAACCTAAAGGAACCTAGCATTTTCTTGGACACAGAACTCGACAGAATAAAGGAGATATATAGATGAATTTAAAAGTCTTTTAAATAATCTGCCATGATTCTATTAAAAATGAATATAAAATACCTAAAACAAATAGAAATCAAACACAGCGAATCATAGAAAGCTTACAAGAGTAGATCTTGATGAATAAGGTTGAAAACAAGTATGACAAATCGAACATAGCATGAATTTCAAGAAAGCAGTTTCAACAACTGTATCTTTAGATTGAGGGAGGTGGAAAGGGAAGGGAGGGAATTATATCTCTTTGTTCTCCTTTGTACCCTTCTTTCCACTTCCCTCATTTAGATAAATTAATAAATTAAAAAATAAATAAATCAAAAGGACTCTAATATCCCTCTCTCTCTTTAATTTTTTTAAAAACTAAATAAAAATTTTTTTTCTCCCCCTTCCATTTCTCTCAACCTCAAGGCGTTGTAAGAAAAAAAAAACAGTGAACAAATGGGAAAAGGGAAGGAAACTCTTTAATTCTAATAAAAATTGGAAACTTTGTTGATAAATAAAAGAAACATGTAGCGCGGGGAAAAAAATATATTTGACAGATTTTGAATCTCTGCCTCACCTCTTTGCAATTCTGTGTGCTTTTCTCTCCACTTCTTTCCTCTTTCTATTGTTTTCGGCTGCGCTCTCTCTACTCTCAATTTTTTTGAGTTTTTCTCCCCTCTCTGTCACATGGCCAAAAGCCCCCTTTCATACAAGACAAGACAAGAACCCAAACTTTTCATGCCAATTACAAATAAAAATCCAATTTTATTTGGAATTGAAATCTTAAAATCTTAAAATTCAACTAATTCTTCACACATCTTTTTTCTTTATAGGCCAAATTCGTACCCTTGTGGATTAGAATTCTGGCAATAATTATATTCGGAGTTTTTTCCCTGCTGCTTGTGGCTTGCGGCTCCACTCCGATTCCTCGATTGACTAACCTTAGCTTCGAAAATCTCTCTTTATGCTGTATTCAAGCAAACCCAAGCGGAAGTAGAGATAAAATCAAGAGAGAAAAATTCAAAATTGGGAAAGAAATCGGGAGGCAGTAGACTTGGAAAGCATCAGAACGTGAGAATTCTAAGCGGCTAGAGGTATTAATTCAGCTAAGATAGAAACGACGTCGTTTCATGAATCTTTTGATCCAAATCTTCTGTACATTCATCAATTTAGTCCCTTGACTTCTTATTTTATCAGCTAAGTCCTACAAGTCACAATTTCAAAGTCTTAGCTCTTTGCAACAATGTCTTATTTATTTTTTCTTTTCCTTTTTCCCCATTCATTTCCTAATTTTTCATTGAAACTTTAAAATTGAATTTACAAGGAATTTTCAAATAGATATCTGATCAAAATTGAGTTATGACACCCCATATGTGCCATGCAATGACTATGAACATGAATGGCAAAAACAACCTCAAACTTCTTTTTCCATGATATTGAGCAAAACCAACTAATGCTTCTTTAATCATCAAGCATGTGGTCTGATAATAAAGTTATTTACAGTCTTAACTACAAGTCTAGGGTTTAATCCCCAGTCTTTATATTCCTAAAAAAAAGCTTCTTTAATGACCCCTGACAAAGTAGATTTTTTTTTTTAAAAATATATAATTGTATTAATGGTTGAATTAGTTACAACATAAATTATACCTTGTCATACATGCTATGTGAAAAATATAAAGCATGCTAGGAAGGACCTATGATACTAACATAAAGAGCTAATATAATTTTCATGACAAGTAAGATAATCAAGTCTTGAGAACCTTTAAATGGTAGCATACATCATAGGGGTATTAATAAAACTATGTAAAGACATAGATTATATTACTCTAGAACTTTCTGTTCGCTATTGGTAACCGCATTTATTTTATCATTTAGTCCTAGCATGAGAGATCATAAGACATGGTGATATAGTGTCTCCTAGCACTACAATACTCTATCTAGACTCAGATAAATTTCTAATCTGCAAATGGATGAAAGACATCTACATGCATTGCCATTATAGGGCCTAAGTCGTCCAGTCTAACCTTAGGCATCCTTCCATCTTCAAATGCATTCAGAGCCAACTTCCTTTTCCCCTTTGCATCCTTAGCTTGGGGGAAACTTCAAAATTCCTTGGCATTCTTTTCTATGTGCCTTGTGAGGTTTGACCATCTTTATTCTTTTTACCAAAGCTCATAAAATGTCCACCATCAAACCCCAATGGCACCTTAATCAATTGCATATGTGGGGCTCATATAGGTACAAGGGTGGTGTTGGCCTAACCATTTGGAGGCTCCTATATTTTCATTTGTTGCCAGCCCACTTAGATTATTCTTAATTGGGCTTTTTCTTGTGTCCTCCTCTCCACTAGGCCCCTTTAGCTCATTCTCCTTACAATAGGCCCCTTCACTTTTTAAGCCCAAATCATGCGATGTACCCCTTAACGCATCACCTTCTATTCTACCTTCCTCTATTGAGCATTCCACTTTATCAGCACCCATTAAGCTACCAGAACCATCTTGCTCATTATAATTTAAATTTTGTTCCCCACAACCATTGGATGACACCCTCCCAACCCCCTCTTCCATCTCTTTCAAGAAGATATGAAAATTATGCATGTGGGTTCAACACAAGATTTGCATCCAACTTAAAATCCATTAGCCATAGGTGAAGTAACTTTCCTTATATTTAAGCTACAAGCTTCTTATTTGTATACTCGATGTAGGATTTTTCCACTTAACACGCCCCTTCATGTGTAGGCCCACTATGAATGTGGGGTACTGTGAGTACTGTCACGTGGCTTAACACGCCCCTTTACATGCTGGCACGGTATCAATTTCGGATCCTATCAGATAGGCTAACAACGAGTTTCTCAGGTAGAATTTGGGTTATGATACCATGTAAAAATTGTGCATGTGGGCTCAACACAAGGCTTGCATCCAACCCAAAATTAATTGACCATAGGTGGAGTAGCTTTCCTTATATTTAACCCACAAATTTTTAACTTTTATACTCGATGTGAGATTTTACTATTCAACAATTATTGCCATTGCAAATTTTCAAATCTGCAACGTTCCTTTTTGCTTGATGTCTTGAGGCAAATGGAAACTTCATTGCCACCATTGCCACTGTCCGTCAACAACGGTTCAACATCCCCTTCATTTACCTCTGCCATGTCATCATCTTTAACCTCAAGTCTTTCCAATTGAAAATTCACTTGGTCATATGAGTCTAACTCTACATCTATAGAGCTCTGTAATGACCAGGACTCATTGTCTTCATCTTCATCACTCACCAGACTATAATTGAAATTTGATTTTACCATAAGCAGCAAATTGTTAGAAGACGGTTTTCGGGTAAAACCATACTTTTATAGATTGCCTTCTTTTCCCAGTAGAATTTCCTTTTCGCAAAGACAAAACACATGAAAAACACAAAACCCTACGTTAAGTCCCAAACCTACATGTAAAAAGCAAAAAGAACTTTTCAGATGAGGAACAAAGACATGAAATCAAAAGCAGATTAGATTGGTGTACCGTGAGTAAGTTGAAGGATCAACAACCAATTTGGCCCAAGTTGCTTGAAGCAAAGTAAGTGAGTGTTTTTCCTGTGAAACTGTATGTGGGAGAAGGAATGGTGAAAGAAGAATTAAAGAAAAAGGAGGAACAAATTGAAGGGATCGAAGGAATATAAGATGGAGAGATTAAAGATAAATAATAAAGAATTAATATTTAATTCATGATGAATGTCGCATGTGGTGGGAAACGAAACATTTAAATCAAATTTGTATGG